CTTGAAGAACACATGTTTTTCCAGATTAAATGGCCCACTGAATGCCTAACATAATGAATGAAGAAGGACCTACATCATGAAATTTCAGAACACTGGGGATATAGAGGCAATCCTACAACATTCCAGACAGAAGACAACAGTCAAATAGAAAAAAATCAGACATTTGAATGGTGTCAGACTTCTCAGCAGCAATATTGGAAACCAGAAGAAAATGGAGCAATGTCTTATAAATCAGGAAGGAAAATTAATTCCAACTTAGAATTTTATACCCAGCTGAACCATCTACCAAATGTCAGGATAGGATAAAGATATTGTCAGATATGCAAGTTTCTAAAGAAAATGTTTCTTCCTACACATCTCTTTCCAAGAGACCACTGAAGGGAATGAAACAAACAAACAAAAAAACCTCAAGAAACAAGAAGAAAGATCCAAGACAGGAATGAGGTGAAGGCAATCCTGATGGTGAAGGGAGATCCCAGGATGAAAGTAGGCACAGCAACAAGGAGCCACCAGTCCAACTTGCAGCGGGTCAGAGAGCACTAAGAATTTTTTTTTCGTAAGATAAAAAGAAACTGCCTAATACATCTGAATGTCTTAAGAGGAGATTTAAATAATTAGTGAAAAGTTTGGAGTGAAATTAATGATAATCAGAGGTGGATTTACTGTAAAGTTAATCAAACTTAAGTTTCAGAACACTTCATCTGCAAGAGTCCTTTGCAAGACCCTATACCTAATTTTGTGTTTACAATTTTATATTTGTTTTCTTAAAGAAGACCACCAATATAAACTATATCCAGTCTTCATGAAAAGTACATAGGAAACCGTGCAAATAAGGGGGAAAAAGACAAAGAAAAATACCTAGTTTACTAATGGTTCAGTTCTGAATAGCATATATTCATAATAATACAAGCACTGATTACTAGTCTAAGAAAATGAAGATGTAATTGCATTAGGAAGACCAGGAGGTAGGAAATGTGGATGTGTGTGGTATAGACTAGGGCAGGACAAAGAACCTAAATCCTCATTTTCCAAACATAATTGTTAATATGTAAAACTCAAAATTCAAGAAGTAACAGTAAAAGCAGTCATTAAGAAACATAGTATTAAACACCAGGTAGGAAACGAGAGATGGGGGAAGAGGGCAAGAATCTGATTATTTCTTGTAATAAATTTTAACTATTTGACTGTTTACATGTAGAACGTGGATCTTTTTTAAAAAACACAAAATAATACTATTATTTTTTAACTGGATTTTTGAAAAAGAAGATAAAAGTCAGTCTCATTTTAGTAATTAAAACTCATTCCAGGTTAGTCCACCCAAAACTTTTTTTTTTTTTTTTTTTTTTTTGAGACGGAGTCTTGCTCTGTAGCCCGGGCTGGAGTGCAGTGGCCGGATCTCAGCTCACTGCAAGCTCCGCCTCCCGGGTTTGCACCATTCTCCTGCCTCAGCCTCCTGAGTAGCTGGGACTACAGGCGCCCGCCACCTCGCCCGGCTAGTTTTTTGTATTTTTAGTAGAGACGGGGTTTCACCGTGTTAGCCAGGATGGTCTCGATCTCCTGACCTCGTGATCCGCCCGTCTCGGCCTCCCAAAGTGCTGGGATTACAGGCTTGAGCCACCGCGCCCGGCCGTCCACCCAAAACTTATATTGAAAAATTAAAACTTTGGGAGGCCAGGGCAGGCGGATCACCTGAGGTCGGGAGTTCAAGACCAGCCTGACCAACATGGAGAAACCCCATCTCTACTAAAAATACAAAATTAGCTGGGCATTGCGCACACCTGTAATCCCAGCTACTCGGGAGGCTGAGGCAGGAGAATCGCTTGAACCCAGGAGGCGGAGGTTGCGGTGTGCTGCAATCACACCAGTGCACTCCAGCCTGGGCAACAAGAGTGAAACTCCATCTCAAAAAAAAAAATTAAAACCTCTGTAAGATGAGTTTGCAGATGTTCATTATGCTCATTTTTTAACTTGTATGTTTGGAAAATGTCATGATGAGAATTGAGGTTGGGGGATGAGAAAAAAAGAAAAACATCAACTGCACATCCCATTCAATTTTCAGCCCGACCCACAGCTCTGGGGAAGGGCAGCAGGTCCATCCTTCACTCCTTCTTCACCTCTTTCCCCTCCTTCTGCCTCTTCCTCTCTAAGTTTGAGCCCAAGAAGAGGCACTGGAAAATGGAAAAGTCTTTTGTACGTGGTACTTGCCAGGGAAGCTGCCATGGAGACCTGACCCCGCTATGGGACGGGAATGCCCAGCTGAGGCCTCGTGCCCATGCTAGGATAGACTCGTCCAGACGTGTCAGGTTCTGACAGAGCAAGCAGCAGGAAGTCATGTATGAGTATAAACTGATCTGTATGCAAGGGTGGGGAGAACATGCAGAGGACTGGGACGTGAGAAAACAGCACAGTACGTTCCTTTAGCAGGTGTCTCTGCCCAGCCATGGGAGGTCACAGAGAAAGAGGCTTGGAGGTGTTATTTTCACTGTGAGATGTGAGTGTAAAAAAGTGCCCGAGACACAGTGAGTACCAGGGAGATGCCCTCTTGCCTACCCGAATACAGAATGACCACAGGCCTTAAAACACACACATGGGTCCTCAGAGGAGAGACAGGCCTCTAGAGTGGACACCAGCATTCTCCCCTGGTCAGCGGCAGCAGGGCGAGTGCTGGGGCTCTCATGAAGCTCCACAGGCAGTGAGCTCTCAGCAACAGCAGGAACAGTGCCCTGGAGACTGTAGCTTCAAGACCGATTTTCATGTAAGAAGGCCTCTGAGGACTCTGAGATACGCCAGACTGAGACTAGCAGGCAACTCCAAGATCTTGGTCAGAAGGGAACAGGATCTAGGGAAATTGGAATTATTGTTACTACAATTCCTTTACCTCTGCAGTCATAAGGTCCAGAGAGTCTCTCTTATTGTTTTTTTAAAGACAGAGTCTCACTCTGTCGCCTAGTCTAGAGTGCACTGGTGTGATCATGGTTCAGTACAGTCTTGACCTCCCAGGCTCAAGTGATCCTCCCGCCTCAGCCTCTCAAGCGGCTGGAACAGCAGTTGCATGCTACCAGGACCAGGCCTAGCTTTTTTGTTTTTGTTTTTGTTTTCTTCAGTAGAGACTGGGTCTCTCTATATTGCCCAGGCTAGTCTTGAACTCCTGGGCTCAAGTGATCCTCTGGCCTCAGCCTCCCAAAGGTTGGGATTACAGGCATGAGACACTGCACCCAGCCAGTATAGTCTTTTAACAGCTTTATTGAGGTATGGCTAACATTGAAAAAACTACACACATTTAAAGTATGCAATTTGATAATTTTGACAAATGTATACACCAGTGAAACTATCACTACAGTCAAAATAATGAACATATCCATCACTCCCAAGTTTCCTCACGCCCCTTGGTAACCCCTCTCTCCCGACTCCCTGCCCCCTAACATCAAATACTGATGCATTCTGTCTCCACAGACTCATTTACATTTTCTAGAATTTTACATAAATAAAATGATATAGTATATACTCCTTCATGTATGGCTTCTTTCAGCCCAATTATGTCCAGATTCATGCTTATAGTTGTGCGTATCCTCAGCCCATCTCTTTGTCTTGCTGAGTAGGATACCATTGCATAGACAGACCACAGCTTGCTCATCCATTCACTCTTGACAATGTTGAATTGTCTCCGTTTTTAGCAATGACAAATAAGGTTGCTATGTACATTCCCGTATAGACATTTGTATAAGCACAGGTTTTCATTTCTCTTGGGTAAAGACCTAGCAGTGGAAGGGCTGAGTCACATGGTAAATATATGTCTAACTTTTTAAGAAACTGTCAAACTGTTTCCCAAAGGGATTGTACCATTTTACATCCCCACCAGCAGTGTATGAAAATTTCCGTGCTTCCACATCCTCACCAGTATATGGTGTGGTCAGTCTTTTTAATTTTGGACATGCTAATAAGTGCAAAATGAGGCCCAGAGAGTCTCAAGTTACATTTGTGTCATTTTTGGCCTCCAAAACAGGTGTCAACCATAGAGAAAATACTTGTTCCTTGAATGATCAGTCATTTACAAGTGGAATTCATTACAAACCGGTAATTCTACTGGGTTAAACTATGCCTTAGTGTCAACAGGCACATACACATACAGAGAGACAGGAAGGCACAGAGACAAGGCAGGGCATTGATAAGGAGGTGACTTGGGCTCTAGCTCTGGCCTATCACCTAGTAAAATATTAGTTAAGTAGCCATGAGTAACTCACTTAACTTACCATGGGCTCCATTTTCTTGTCTGTAAAATAGGAACATTGAAACAGCAAATCTTCCAAGGTTTGTGGATAATCAGAATTACAAAGATCAGTGACATTTCTAGGACAGAAACATATTTCCAAGCATTTTATGGAGTATATCAGACAAAAAGTAAAGGAAACTGAATATTTTTGAGGTTTTTTTTTTTTTTTTTTACCAAGAAATTCACATTTTGTTAAATTTTCAGAACTACCTCCTGAGAAAGGTGTAGCTGCACCCATTTAGAATGATAGAAAACATCAATCTGTCTGACTCCAAAGCCAAGTTCTTGCTACAACAAGAAATGAAACAACTGGATCCCTACTGATGCAGAGACCTGGGCCCCACAAATGTGAATTCTGTTCCCCTACCGAACAGAGTTACGGTTCCATAGTACAGTACTCCCTCACTTTCCCACAGTTTCACATTCCACAGTTTCAGCTACCCGCAGTCAACTGCAATCCGAAAATATTAATGAAAAATTCTAAAAATAAACAATTCAGAAGTTTTAAATTGCGCTCCATTCTGAGTAGTGTGATAAAATCTTGTGCCACCATCCCACCTGTCGAGCTTATCATTAGTCATTGACATCGTCTGCTCCTGACATCCAACCATTGACATCATCATGACTTTATGACCCACGATCGCCAAAGCAGATGACCCTCCTTCTGACATATCATCAGGCCAATATCAGCCTAACACTGCATCACAATGCCCCCATCAGTCACCTCATTTCATCTCATCAAGAAGGCAATGGATCAACTCACATCAACACAAGAAGAAGGGTGGCTATAGAACAATAAGATAATTTTGGGGCAGGTATGATGGCTCACGCTTGTAATCCCAATACTTTGGGAGGCCAAGGCAGGAGGATTGCTTGGACCCAGGCATTCAAAACCAGCCTGGGAAACATAGTGAGACCTCTTCTCTCTACAAAAAAATAAACAAAATTATCCAGATACAGTAGTGCATGCCTGTGGTCCCAGCTATTCCGGGGACTAAAGTGGGAGGATCACTTGGTCCCAGGAGGTTGAGGCAGCAGTAAACTGTGATCACGCCACTGCACTCCAGCCTGGGTGATAAAGTGAGACCCTGTCTCAAAAAAAAAAGGTAATTTTGAGAAAGAGACCACATTCATATAACTTTTATTACAGTATATTGTTAGAATTGTTCTATTTCATTATTACTTATTGCTGTTAATTTCTTTCTTTGACTAATTTTTTTTTTTTTTTTTTGAGTCGGAGTTTTCCTGCCCAGGTGGGAGTGCGATGGCATGATCTCAGCTCACTGCAACTTCTGCCTCCCAGGTTCAAGCGATTCTCCTGCCTCAGCCTCCCGAGTAGCTGGGATTACAGCTGCCTGCCACCATGCTCGGCTATTTTTGTATTTTTAGTAGAGGCAGGGTTTCTCCATGTTGGTCACGCTGGTCTCGAACTCCCAACCTCAGGTGATCCACCCGCCTCGGCCTCCTAAAGTGCTGGGATTATAGGCTTGAACCACCGCGCCCAGACTCTTTGCCTAATTTATAAATTAAACATTGCCATAAGCATGTATGAATGTATAGGAAAATCATAGATATATAGGGTTGGATACTATCCACAGTTTCAGGCATTCACTGAGGGGCTTGGAACATGCCCTCCTTAGATGAGGGGGGACTACTGTCATCTCCTCAATCATCCTTGATTCAATCCTCAACACAAATGGTTTGGCCAGGTCTTGCCTCTGGAGACAAAATTGCTAAGGATTTAGAGGGGAAAAAAATGTGGTTCACTGAGAAAGTCACCTCTGCTCCACTGGACAGCAATTTAAAACCCAGACCACGACAAGCAGAAAGGCCACCCCCCACTCTCCTTCACTCCTAGAATATTCAGGAGTCAATCATATTTCAGGACCACCAGGGGCAGACTGGGGAAAACTGAGCTGCTTGAGGAAAGCAATCAGCTCCACAAGGGGCTTAAGAAACAAGCTCTGGGAGGAGCGGCTGGAGAAGACTTGGGGACACATAAGAAATGCCATCCAATTTCTAAGGGCTCCCTCGTGGTGTCAGACCTGTGCATCTTCAAGGGCATAAACAGATGAGATAAGCAGATGAGACTCACAGAGGACCTCAAAATATTGGCTCCCCAGAAGGGAGAACATTCTAGTAACAGAGCTGTCCAGCTGCAGAGTGGACTGCTTCACAAAGCGACGGGTGCCCTGCCTCTTGAATCACCATCTTCATAGGAATGCAGTAGAAGGGACTTAACTTCTGCCCTGAGGAAAAGGTTAGACTAGGGAAACAGCTCCAAAATTTTTTAAAAGGAAGCAACATAGCCATCTACTGGGAGTTTTCTAAAGCCTTTGTTTAACGAAACTAAAGAGCTGGGACAGGAAATGCCAAATTAAATTAACAGAGACTTGCTTTAAGACAATGCAAGTGGATGGTAATGAAGGAATGAGTCCTAGGCCCTGGATCAACCGTATTAAGCAATGCAGAGCATAGAGCCAATTCTGTTCACTAGATTTGCTTAGAAAGGGCCAGATGAGAAGGACTTTTGTGAAGGCACCTACTACCCAAAGAGCTGCCAAGGTGTCCAATGGAGCCCAGAGAGAATATGCTAACAATAAAAAGTTGAACATCCTCAATAAAAAAGGGTAAAAGTAATTAACAGAAAATTACTGAAAGCTTTTGTGAAACCAAAGGTAGTCAGCATTGGTAAAAGTCCACAAAAGTGGACACTTTTATATAATGTTGGCAGGAGGGTAAAAAGACATAATCTTTTTGGAGGACAATTTGGCAATAGAGTACCAAAAACCTTACAATTGAAGAGAACTTTGAGCTGAGTGCAGTGGCTCACACCTGTAATGCCAACACTTTGAGAGGCCAAGGTGGCAGGATTGTTGGAGCCCAGAAGTTCGAGACCAGCCTGGGGTAACACAGTAAGACCTCGACTCTATGAAAAATATGAAATGTTAGCTGGGCATGGTGACATGTGCCTGTGGTCCCAACTCCTCGAGAGACTGAGGCAGGAGTATCACTTGAGCCTGGGAGGTCAAGGCTGCTGTGAGCCATGTTCATGCCACTGTTCTCCAGTCTGAGTGACAAAATGAGACCCTGTCTCACAAAAAAAAAAAAAAAAAAAAAAAAAAAAAAGGATTGAGAGAGAGAGAGGGAGAGAAAGAAAAAAAGAAAGAAAGAGAGAAGAGAGAAAGAGAGAAAGAGAAAGGAAAAAGGAAAAGGAAAGGAAAAAAAGAAAAGGACAAAGAAAAGACCTTTGAACCCTGAATTTCACTTTTAGAAATTCATCTTAAGGAAATTCATTCCAAAGAAATTTATCCCCAGGATTATCTAAATATTTGCTTTTATTTTCTTCTAGTAATTTTATGGTTTAACTTTATTATATTTAAGCCTTTAATTTATTTGGAATTTATTTTGGTATGAGGAAGATGTGACCTTTTTTTCTTTTACTTTAAAAAAAATGTATTACGATTATTATTTTAGAGACAAGGTCTTGCTCTGTCACCCCGGCTAGAGTGCAGTGGTGTGAGCATAGCTCAGTAAAGCCTTGAACTCCTGGCCTCAAGCCATTCTCCCTCGTCAGCCTAGGAGTAGCTGGGACCACAGGCATGTACCACCATGCCCAACTAATTTTTTTTATTTTATTTATTTTTTTTTTTGAGACGGAGTCTCGCTCTGTCGCCCAGGCTGGAGTGCAGTGGCCGGATCTCAGCTCACTGCAAGCTCCGCCTCCCGGATTCACACCATTCTCCTGCCTCAGCCTCCTGAGTAGCTGGGACTACAGGCGCCCGCCACCTCGCCCGGCTAGTTTTTTGTATTTTTTTAGTAGAGACGGGGTTTCACCGGGTTAGCCAGGATGGTCTGGATCTCCTGACCTCGTGATCCGCCCGTCTCGGCCTCCCAAAGTGCTGGGAAACTAATTTTTTTTATTTTTTGTAGAGACAGAGTCTTCCTTGTTGCCCAGTCTTGCTGTATTGTCTCAAACTCCTGAGCTCAAGCGATCCTGCCGCCTCAGCCTCCCAAAGCACTGGGATTACAGGCGTGAGCCTCTGTGCCCAGCTGCCTTTTTATTTTTTCATTTTTCAAATGCTTTGTTGGTTCCAAAATACCATTTATTGACCCACGCTTTCCCCCTCTGGTTTTAAATACTGGAAGTTTGACTTTGAAATGTAACCCGCTGCCTTATTCAGGCTACATTCGAGGAAATCTGAGACCAAGAGTCTGAAGGCTCAGTTTCCTTCCTCAAACCCAGGAGATGGTAAATGTGTCACTTCCACCCTTTCTATCTATTTCTCAGAACTCCTTCTTTCCAAACTCAGCCATGCCCCTGGCTCAGGTCTATAGAAATTCCCAGGGTCCACAGACAAAGCAGAACTCACTTATGGGGAAATTGGGGAAATACCTATCTATTCAGTTAAGCCTGCCCCATATGGTGACTCAGATCGTCTAAAGCCCAAAGCATCATTTTCCACCCCAAAACCATTTCCTCCTCCAGACTTCTCTATTTCTATGGTCCAGACTCAAGACCTTGATATTACCCTACAGTCCTCCTTCTGTTGTTCTCCTGCACACCCAGATGGCCCTCCCTCCCCAGATCCATTCTCCCACCCTCCCTCCCATCAGTTTGGTGGGCCCATCACCGTTTCCCCTGGCCCAGGCTCTCCCTTCATGCGCTTGGAGCAGACTGATCTCCTAGCCTTCACTCACTTCATGTGGTAATCTGCTGTGTTCATCACTGTCAGGATCTTCTGCGTCCCCTCACTGCTCTGCTGAAAATACTCTAGTGGTTCATCATTGCTCATTAATGAAAGCCTAGATATTAAATGTAGAAGGCCCAGCACAATTTGCCCCTACACCACCTACCTCTCTAATCTTTTCTCCTTATTCTGACAGATAGACTGTCTGTCTGTCATTTATATATTTTTTTTACTGCACTCTTCTACTTTACGGATTTTTTAAACATTGCTTTCAAGTACGGAATAAAGAATTTTATTTATTTGAGACTGGGTCTCACTCTGTTGCCCAGGTCAGAATGCAATGGTGCAATCATATCTCACTGTAACCTCAAATTCCTGGGCTCAAGCCATCCTCCTGCCTCAGCCTCCTGAGTAGCTATGACTGCAGGTGTACATCACCACATCTGGCTAATGGAATAAAATATTACAATGCCTAATCTTAATTTTCAAAATGTTAAATTACATTGTACCTAATACCCATGCATTTACTTTTTTCAGTGGTTCAACAGCCCTCACTTTGGCAAAGGTCCCAGGCCCAAGGTAAGGCCTTGCTTTTTCCAAAAAGTTGTACCACGTTAGGTTCTAGGAATTTTTCATAGAAGACTTTATCAGACTATTTTCCTCTAAGTTGAGAAAGAGCTGGGGGTAGAATACAGCACTGAATGAATGAAGAGGATGCACTGAAATCAGGCCAGAGGTTGCTGGAAGGAGCAATGAGGAACACCAGCAGCAATAAGGAGCCGGTGATGATTTTGGCTTCACAGGGAGGTGTGTACCACACCGATTTTATCTCTACGTGGATGAACCACAGCTGTCAGCTCCCTTGTCTCCGGGACATCACACTCTCCACATTCCCTCCCACCTTCTGGCTTCTGCTTCCCAGGGGCCCTCATCTGCCCCGTCCTGGGTGAACACCGGTGAGTCAACTGCTGGGCGTGCCTTCCCGCTCTGCACACCCTCCCTGGCCACCCTACCCACTCCCACAGCTCGCACTGCAGACAAGCCGCATCTCTAGCTCCAGCCCATCTGCCTCTTCTGAGCTCTAAATTCATGCAGGTGAAATCCTGCCGGTGTTGCCTCAGAGGCCCATCGTACTTCTCAAGCATTTTCCCCTCAGAACGCATATCCAGAAGATGCATCTCTTAAGCACATCCCCGTGGCTCTCACCTGGATGACTGCATTCGCCTTCTCCCACATTTGCCCCCTCCTTTGGAATTTATATAGATTGTTTTAAAACACAAATCCAATGTGCTTGCTCTCCTGCACCTCAAAACTGCCTTCAGGATAAACCACTGCCCTTAACATGTTCACAGGTTGCCCATGGCCTGGCCCTGCCCATCTCTTCAGCCTCATCTCATGTCCCTTGCCCCTCGCTCTCTGGGCTTCTGCCTCCCGGGCCCTCCTTTAGGTTCTCTAACACACCATAGTCCTTCTAGTGTTGGGGCCTCTGCACGTGCTGTTCCCATTGCCTGAGACATGAATCCCTCTCCCTATCTCTACCTGCACCTTCATCTGATTAATCCCTACCCTTCCTATCCATGATGTTGCTTTCTCAGGGACTCTTTCTGACTTTTTAAACTAATCAGGTTCTCCCCGGTACATATCTTCATAGCACCTTGTATTACTCCTTTCTTAATGACCACCTGCTATAGACTGAATGTCTGTGTCCCTCCAAAATTCCTATGTTAAAAATTAGTCCCAAATGTGATAATATTTGGAGGAGGGCTCTTTGGGAGGCAGAGCCCTCATGAATGGGATTAGTAGCCTTATAAAAGAGACCCCTGAGGGATCCCTTGTCCCCTCCACCATGTAAGGATGCAACAAGAAGGTATGGTCTATGATACAAAAAGCAGACCCTTGCCAGGTGCCCAATATGCTGGCACTTGAACTTCCCAGCCTCCAGAACTGTGAGAAATAAATTTCTATTGTTCATAAACCATCGAGTCTATGGTATTTTGTTATAGCAGCACAAACAGACTGATGTGCCACCCAACCATGATTATACGTGTAATTTATGGTTTCTCTGCTAGTAGGGATGCCCCATGGGGTTAGGAACCATGCTTTTCTTATTTCCCACATAGTCTTTAGGTCCAAGCATGTTCCTGAATCAAAATGCCTCATCTTTTATGAATGAAGGAGTGAGTGAATGAATTAATGAATGAACTGATAACCCTCAATAATTATTCCAGCCTTTTATACCTACTATTGACAAGCTTGCACTCTACTCCAAATTTATTGGGGGTTAACTCTATTTTTGGCCAGCCACATTTGATATTCCCTGCAGCAAGTCTATGCTTTCCATCCTATGTCAAGGAAGGACATGGACTAGTACAGCCAAGAAAGGTCTAAATTCCATGGGTGGGAGAGAGAGACTAAATCTGAAAGGAAGAATAGATTGAGCAAAGGTGTAGAGATTGGGGAAGGCTGGACATTTGGAGAGAAAGAAAAGGAAACTGACACTAAACCGAACAGTCTCACAAACACAATTTCATTTCATCCTTCCAAAACCCTGTGAAGTAAGAATTACTACCCCAGGGCTAAGCTCAGTGGCCCACACCTTTAATCCCAGCACTTTGAGAGGCCAAGGCGGGTGGATCACCTGAGGTCAGGAGTTCAAGACCAACCTGATCAACATGGTGAAACCTCATATCTACTAAAAATACAAAAATAGCCGGGTGTGGTGGTGCATGCCTGTAATCCCAGCTACTTAGGAGGCTAAGGCAGGAGAATCACTTGAACCTGGGAGGTGGAGGTTGCTGTGAGCCGAGATCGTGCCACTGCACTCCAGCCTGGGCGACAGCGAGACTCCATCTCAAAAAACAAAACAAAACCAAAACAAAACAAAGCAAAAAACAAGAATTACTATCCCAGTTTTTCAGATGAGGCAATGGAAGCTCTAAAAAGTTAAGTAGGAGAAACAGATATGAAATGTATGTCTTACACTTTTCCTCATTCTATTTTCTCAGCCTGGAATGTCCATTCTCCCTCCACTACGCAAATCTCCTCTTCAAATTAACACATAGCAAAGTCTAAGAAGCCATCCCTGTATTCAATCTGTTAGCCTCACTTGCTCGCTCTCCATCCCTCTGCTTCCTCTCTAACACTTCTTTATTCTGCTGGCACCACAGTCATCTCCACCTGCCTTCCTCACAAGTTAAAAGCTTGTTAAGGGCAAGTGGTGATCTTTGCCACCTCTTTCCCCAAGGCTTTTAACACAAAGCCTCATGCATGACAGAGCTGTAAAACAGGTTACCAAGCTGGCTCCAGGCAGGTTTGCAGGGAACTGTGCTCTACAGAAATACCTCCTCCCCGCAGGCCCTGGGTCCTGTTCCTGAGTCATGAGTCCTGTTCTCTCATCCTGCTTGTTCTCTCTTGGGGAGCTACAGTACCTTTGAGCAACCTTGCAGGAGATACAATGGCTTATTAGAGGCAGCACAAAGACCCCGTGGAGGGAAGAGTACAGAAAGGGAAAGCGATAATCATGTATATTTTTAGATGTTCATTTTCTTAACAAAATGCTCCAAAACTTGTCCAGACTTTCAAACTCAAAAACCTAAGCCTCCTTTTCTTGAGGATCATCAAAGTCCCCGATGGTCCTTCAGGTATGTCAAGCTTCCTAGAAAATAAAGCTAAGTCATAATCACTTAACACACATGGCTAAATGGCCATTTCCTTCTAATTTATCAGCAATTGTTATATATTTCTATACTAGAAAAGAAAAATTTCTATTTATACTCAGAGTGATACGTTAAATTTGCCATTGAAGTAAAGCAGAAAGAGTGTAGCATGTATGTATTTGTAACTCGACTGTGTATGAGACAAAGATCTATTTAGGAGAATGTGTCTAGCATGGGTCCTGAGTAACCGAACACAATCTATCATGAGCATAGAGGTGCCATGAAGTAAAACATGGTATGTTCAGGGTAGTCATGAAATACTGAATGAACAGGGGCTGGAAGAACCCCAGTAGTTAGCCAGTCCAATCTCCTCCTTTCATAGATAAGGAAGCCCCAGAGACACCTGGGAATTGCCAGAGGTCACATAGCTCATTAGGATCAGAGCCAGGATGAGGATCCAAGCCTCTTGCCTCTCCAGCCACATTGTATGCCACACCTGCCCCTCCCAGTCCTACACCACAATTGCCCTAACCGGTGTCCCTTCCCCCCTGCAGCCAGGAGTTCACACCAAAAGGAGGAAGGAGAGAACTGTGCACTGGCGTAGGACTTCACTATTCACTGTTTGCAATGGATAAAAAGCCTTGTATCAGATTGAATGCTTATATTTATGTTTATGAAAAATGCTTTGAAAAACTGTAAAGCACCATATAAATGTTAGATTAGTAATACGTTTATTACATGATTTGTATCTGGGATATTAATTCAACAGTACCAACATTATTATTGGTCATTTTATTTTCACAGCTAATTTATCTTTAATCTGGAATCCAAATTTGGCCAACATGAAAGCATCTGATTAGTTTCTGGGTTTGTCTTATTGGAAACTTCATCTCTCAGAGAGTAGAGAATATGACAGAGGAATGCTAATCTAAACATATTTCTGTCCAAGAATAAAATGATTTGTGAAAGAGGAATTTGAGATAAAGTGAATGTCATCTTGGAGTTTATGATAAAGAAGGGAAGGCGAGTCATATATAGGATTAGTCAGAATAGACTAGGTTATATTACTGTAACAAATAAATTCCAAAATCTCAGTGACTTACTACATCTAATACAGGTCATTCTATTCTCATGCATTTGCAACCACACCTAATTCATTTGTAGCACATTCTCTAGAACACGTGACTTCCAAAGTTGCTGCATCAGGGCAAGTTTATGTGACACAGGCATACACTGGCCCTTGATTGCATCAGCCAAGACACGTAACACATCATCTATCACTTCCTCTCAGAGTTCAATGGCCAGAAAAAAACGCATGTCCCCAGCTTAAACTGCAAGGGAGACCAGGAAAAGAAGACAGACATTAACAGAGTAATCTCTCAAATGAGCAGGTATTTGGTGAGCACTGTCTACCACATGTATGTTCTCTAGATTTCAGGAAAGCAAATATCAAAAAAAAGTTTGAGTGTCCTAATTGTCTAAAACCAAATCTATATATGCCTTGAATAAAAGAAAGACCGAAAGAAAAGACAATGGAGTCATAAGAATGATCATCTCTAGTTATTAAATTGCAGATTTTCCTTTGTTCTTTATATTTTTATATTTCCTCAGCGAAATTTAAAGAACATGTTTTAGAATCTGAAAAAAGTAACACAAGCTATTCTTGGAAGTTGAAACACAAGTTTAGACCAGAGATAACCTTGACTCCACTAAAGAAAATGACCCAAAAGGAAAGGGAATTTCTTTAAAATGCGCTTTTGATGAGATAACCAGAATTAGTCAGAAGAAAAGTGACAGACGGGCACAGACATGACTGCTTCCACACCGGAAGCTCTCTGAGGAACTCTGATTTTTAAAGGGCATCCATGAAGAGGGAAAGGAGGACAGGTCTCCAAAAAGAAGAGAAAGAGGAGGCAATCCTGTTCATCACTGTATTAGGCCATACTTGTGCTGCCATAAAGAAATACCTAAGACTGAGTAATTTACAAGGAAAAGAAGTTTATTTTGGCTTATGGTTTTGCAGGCTGTACAAAAAGTATGACACCACCATCTGTGTCTGGTGAGGGCCTCACGAAGCTTCCAATCATGGCAGAAGGCAAAGACGGCCAGGCATGTCATGTGGTGAGAGCAGGAGCAAGACAGTGAGGGAAGAGGTACCACACACTTCTAAACAACAAGGTCTTGTGAGAACTCAGTCCCTATTGAGAGGACAGCACTGAGCTATTCACAAGGCATCTGTCCCCATGATCCAAACATTTCCCAGCAGGCCTCACCTTCAACACTGGGGATTACATTTCAATGTGAGATTTGGAGGGGCAAACATCCAAACTTTATTATTCCACCCTTGGCTCCCTAAATCTCAGTGCTTCTCACATTGCAAAATAAAATCGTGCCTTCCCAATAATCCCCCCAACTTTTAACTCATTCCAGCCCCAACCCAAAAGTCCCAAAGTCCAAAGTCTCATCTGGGATTCAAGTCAAGTTCCTTCCACCTATGAGGCTGTAAAGTCAAAAACAAATTATTTACTTCCAAGATTCAAAAGTGATACAGGCATTGTGTAAACATTCCTATTCCAGAAGGGAGAAATTGGTCAAAATGTTACCAGGATTGGGTCCCAATCCAGAACCAAGAGAAGGCTCTGGACCTTGTACAAGAAAGAATTCCTGGCGAGTCCATACAGTAAAGTAAAAGCAATTGTATTAAGAAAGTAACAGAATAAAGAATGCCTACTCCATAGGCAGAACAGCAGCTTGGGCTGCTGGACTAAGGATACTTAATAGTTATTTCTTAATTATACATTAAACAAGGGGTGAATTATTCACAAGTTTTCTGGGAACGAGGTAGGCAATCCCCCAAGCTGAGGGTTCCTCCTCTTGTTAGTCCACATGGGGTACATTTTAGATGTTGCCATGCCATCTGTAAACTGTCATGGTGCTGAGACAGGCACAGACATGACTGTTTGGATCATGGTGGAAGTGTCTTCTGGCATGCTAATGCATTATAATTAGCATATAATGAGCAGTGAGGACAATCAGAGGTCACTCTCATTGCCATCTGTATTAGTCTGTTCTCACACTGCTGTAAAGAACTGCCCAAGACTGGGTAATTTATAAAGAAAAAGGGTTTAATTGACTCACAGTTCTGCATAGCTGGGGAAGCCTCAGGAAACTTACAATCGTGGCAGAAAGGAAAGCAAGTACCGTCTTCCTAAGGCTGCAGGAGAGAGTGAGCATGTGTGTAGGAGGAACTTCCAAACACTTATAAAACCATCAGATCTTATGAGAACTCACTCAGTATCACGAGAACAGCATAGG